ATGGGCCTGGCTGTCCTCACCAAGGACGCTTCTGCCCACCTAAGGGCAGAGACCACGAGTCATGACAGGTGACATCTGAGAAGGGGCTACTTCATGCACTCTGAAAGTGAGCCTTCCAGAAGCCTCAGAGATGAGACCATGGCCCCATGAGGGCACAAGATTTATGTGGATCACACAGCTAGCAATGAGTGGCAGAGCCAGGCCAGCCCCAGGACCACATATGCCTCCCTCCTGCAGCACTTGCTTCCCAAGTTCCCCCCCCCCCTCTGCCTTCTCAGCTTCTGTGTGGTGGGAGGTTTCCTCGGTGCTGCTTGCAGGAATCAATGAAGGAGGAAATGTGAGAGCTCCTAGCCCAGGGTGTTTATTAATATGTGTAGAATAAATGAATGAATAAGAAGGATACCTCATCCAGAGCTGAGCTCTCTGTCCATGTCAGTTTTCTCCTTCCCCACCCCCTGCCCCCTAAAATGCCGTTGGGGTGTCACCCTGTGGGAATGGAGAGACAAGTGGGCAGTGTCACTCCAGAACCTTGTTGAACATCCGAAAGTCTCTTCCCGGTTCTCTGGGTGTGGCTACCTCTGGGCGACAACCAAGCTGCAGAGGACAGGGAGTGTTGTCGATGGTCCTGCCCACCTGAGTGTCCTTGCAGGCTCCCTAGTTGCCCTGCCTCCTTAGGTCTTGCGGAAGTTGCTTTCTGGATGACCTTGGGGATAGCGGCTCCAGACCGTGGGGCCTGGGAGAACAGGGGACTGGGGCCACACTGTCACCAGTGTCCATGTCCTCATCCCACTAGTATGAAGATGGCCAGGAGTATGGTTTGGTGCACAGAGGATGGGGGAGCTGGACGATGTAGGTTTGAGTCCCAGTTGTTGTTGTTCAATTGTTGTGTCCAACTCTGCAACCTTGTGAACTGCAGCATGCCAGGCTTCCCTGTCCTTCACCATCTCCTGGAGTTTGCTCAAATTCATGTTCATTGAGTTAGCGATGCCATCCAACCATCTCATCCTCTGTCATCCCCTTCTCCTTCTGCCCACAATCTTTCCCGGAATCAAGGTCTTTCCCGATGAGTTGACTCTTCACAGCAGGTGGCCAAAGTATTGCAGCTTCAGCATTAGTCCTTCCGATGAATATTCAGGGTTGATTTCCTTTAGAATTGACTGGTTTGATCTCCTTGCAGTCTCAATTCTTGTCCAGGGACTCTCAAGAGTCTTGCCCAGCACCACAGTTCTTAAGCATCAATTCTCAAGCACTCAGCCTTCTTTATGGTCCAGCTCTCACATCCATACATGACTGCTGGAAAAACCATAGCTTTGACTATACAGACTTTTGTTGGCAAAGTGACGTCTCTGCTTTTTAATATGCTGTCTAGGTTTGTCATAGCTTTACTTTCAAACAGCAAATATCTTTTAACTTCATGACTGCAGTCACCGTCTGCAGTGATTTTGGAGCCCAAGAAAACTAGACCTATCGCTTTTTAGTTGTGTGACCTTTGGCAAGTCATTGTAACTCTCTGATCCTTTTTGTCATCTTTACTATGGGAACAATTTCATACTTACATGGGGATTGTGGATCAGAAAGGGCCATCCATGACTAGATGTTGGGATGGCTGTGAAAACACTTTAGAAACATTTGAGTCATGGTCATGTGGGAAAGTGGCTTTGCTGCCATCATGCTCTTGCTCGTGGCCCCTCTTCTGAAGTGACCTGGGTGGCTGGACTAGACAGCCCGAACTTGAATTTTGGCCTTAAACAAGTCACAGAGTCCCTGAGAACCTCAGGTTTTCTCATCTATCAAGTGGACATGATAACCCTGTCTGCCTTCCCAGGGTCATCTGTAACCATGTGAGATAAGATTGGGCATCTGTGGTTGAGAAGTACTTTCTAAAATAGTAGCTGGAAAAAAATTAAAAATTAATAAATAAAATAGTAGCTGGATTTCAGCATAGTTGTGGAAGAGTCTGAAGAAGCCTGGACTTCCTTCTGAGAAAGGCAGATGGAGGAAGGGGGAACCCTGACTCTTTCCCTCAGAGCTGGTTAACTCCTGAGGTTCCATTACTCACGCACCCCGAGCCTCCCTGTTCCCATCTGACAAGACGGGGCACTTACGGGTGCCCAGGGCTCAGGAGGGCGGTCTCTAGGACAGCCTGTCGTGCTTGCCTGGAAGTCCTGGAAGGAGTGGCTGGCTGACTCTGGGCTGGCCTCTCTGGCCACCACCACCCAGACAGCAGAGCTTTCTGACCTCACTCAGCTCTTGCTAAAGTGCTCCCTCAGCCTGGTTTTCAGGAGTTCCCTGGTCACGACCGATGCTCTGCTCATGTGATCTCCAGCTCAAGATGTCGAAACCCTACCCCAGGCTCCCCGGAAACCCCCTGTCGGCTGGGCCAATGGCACAGGGGCCGTGAGCACTCCTTGGGTATTGCCACATGGGGCATCTCTGTGGATACTGTAATCAGAAGTTCCTGTTTCCCCCACCAGGAGAAGTGGACAGATGGCTGAGGGAACTCGGGTTTCCGGTGGCTCTGAGATTATTCCGAGCACAATATCATCCTAGGGAGGCTGTATCTGGGGACCCACACAGAATGCTGTGGTGTGATGGTGCCACAGTCTATTACAAATGGAGGCAAGATGCCGGAATCCACCTTCTTGGGCTGATGCCTGCACTTTTCTGCTCACAAGTTTCTTTACATTGTTCACAGGGACAAAGGAGGACAGGGAGGCTGGCTGTTTGAGGCGAGACTATGAATCCTTACAGGATTAGCACACATGCCCCTGTGGCCCCACTTTACTGATGAGGAGACTGAGGCATGGGGGAGAGAATTGACCGAGCCCAGGCAGGACAGTTCATAAGCAGCATCACCCTGCCTGGAATTCAGGGCTCTCTGGCCACAGATCCACGGGGCTCAGCGGGGGCTTGTTTTTTAGGTCCTTGTCCAGGTTCTGGGAAAGAACTGGCTCTGTGACTTTGAGCCCATCACCTGACATCTCTGGGCTCCGATTTCCTTCTCTGTCTCATGTGAAGATTGGAGTAGCTCAGTATTTCTCAAGCTTTTCCACAGAGAAGGTTAAAATGAATTTCTTGGAAGTTTAGTGTTTTCCCATAAGCATTCTCATGTTTTGTGTTTTTTGCCCTGATTTTATGAGTTGTTTTAATTTTTTAAGATCTTGTGTTTGTTTCTTCGCTAAATGGCCATGTCGACATGGTGCTCTGAGATGCATCATATGCTCTGGGCGCAATGCCAAGGTTCCCTTTGGGGTTGACCAGCTTCTTCTCCTAGAGGGAAAGGCCTGAGGCAGATCTGCTCCACTGGGCATCCCAGCCATCAGCAGCACAGGACTCAGGCCTGGGCCAGAGTGGGATGGGAGAGGACCCCATATGAGTGTCAGTGTTACCAGTTTTGAGGTAGTAGTAGTGTTAGCTGCTCAGTCATGACTGACTCTTTGTGACCCCATAGACTGTAGCCTAGAAGGCTCCTCTGTCCATGGAAATTTCTAGGCAAGAATACTGGAGTGGGTAGCCTTTTCCTTCTCCAGGGGATCTTCCTGACCCAGGGACTAAACCCGGGTCTCCTGCATTGCAGGCATATTCTTTACTGTCTGAGCTACCAGCTATGACCTTGGGCAAATCACATGCACAAACTTCCTGGTCCTCTGTAGATATGCTCATCGATCCAGAGCCTTCGTCACAGGATTACAGTGACACAGAAGAGAGCAGGGGTGTGAGAGGTCCCATCACGGCCTGGCATGAAGTGATGTGCCAGGACAGGTTAGGATGCCCATTGTATTTTAGGACTGCAGAGTCCCACAAACCTGTAAACCCTTCCCCCGTAAAAAGCCCCTTTTTCAAAAACATCTCCCTCCCCAGTTCTGTCAACAGTCTGGGATTCTCGGGGTCACTGAGGCCTTGGGTTAAGGCCTGGACAGCTCTTGTTAAAATGCAATTGTGACAAAGAAATGCTGGGGCCGAGTTCCATGCCCTGCTGTCCTTGTGATTAACCAGGTGACCTTAGCAAGTCATTCCCTCCTCTGAACCTCTGCCTCTTCATCCATAAGCCGAAGGTACTAGAGCTAACAAGCCACTATAAACTAGGCTGTTTTCAAGATGCCCAGAGATTAGGGGCCAATGGATGAGTCTAGGCTGCTGCAGCCCGGGACAGGAACTCCGATGAGAGGAAGTCCAGGGGTATGTCACGGGCCCTTTGGGGACACAGAGATGTATCAACCAGGCTTGAAGACTCAGAGACCTTTCAGAGCTGAGATGGGGTCTCCTGTGAGATGGGTAGGATGGCAGGAGGCAGCCAACTGAAACAGGGTTTTGGGACATGGCAGACAGGGGACACAGAGGAAGTTAAGCTGAGGCACCGCGCTAAGCTCTGCCTTATGCACACAGCATCTTAGTTAAGGCTGCAGACAACCCACCAGTAGTTACTTGCATATGAGAAAACTGGGCTGAGATCCATGAAGCAGCTTGCTTGAGTCCACCTCGCCTGTGAGCGACTCCAGTGGGCTTCAGAGCAGACCACTCAGATCCCAGATGCTCCAGAGTGGGGGGCCCCTGCGAGCTGGGGAGAAGGGACTCGGATTTCTTAGCAGATAAAGGAAAATGTGAAGAAGGCCTCACTCAGTACTTGGTGCCAAGAGTGGGGAGAGTGCCTGAGGTCTGAGAAGCAGAGGGTGGCTGCAGACTGGAGGGGCTGGCCCTGGGGGGACAGAGGGCCTCAGGCCACCACGTTGGCCTCTCTGTGTAGAGAAAGAACCGGAACTCCTTCTGGCCCTTCACTGCTCCCCTCAAGGCCTCACCTCTGACGGGCTGTTGTGTCTGAACTGCTAAAGTACACACGTGTGGTCCCCGCTGTGTCTTACCCATGTGCCTCCAGGGCAGTCAATGAATGTTTGATGAAGGAAGCCACAGGTGTGTGCAGTGGTTTCCAGCACTGCCTTTGCCTGTGGTGAATGCTCACAAAATTGGGGAGTGGGGGGTGTGGCAGGGCATGGAAGGGTGGCATGTCGGTGGTTCATCCCTTACCTTTCACAGGTGAGAAAACTGGGGTCCAGAGAGATGAATGTTTGTTCCCGGGGGTCACGCTGCTTCCCTGGTGGGGAGAAGGAGCTGCGTGAGCAGTGGAACCACCTTCTTCCTCTTGAAGCCAGGGTGCCTTGTTATCCCAGGACCCCACCCCTTCCAGGAGGAGCTGAACGTCTGGCACTTTGCCCAGGGAGCTTGGCCTGGTCTCACCCGTGGGAGATGCATCTCCTGAGGTTCTGTAGGAGATCTAGGCTCTGGGTACCATGGGGGTGGGGGCAGCCCAGAACTGGACAGTTCTAAGGCATTGAGCCTGGGAGCTCCTTACTTCTAAGCAGGATGGGAACAGAATGGGGGAACCCTCGGTTTGCCCCCTATATGGGAGCATGGGGGCTGGTGTGATAACCACGGGCTCCCAGACACTCTGGGCAGGCACTGGCTGTGGTGCTGCCTCATTGATCAGGGAAAGGTAGGTCCTTGGAGGCAGCATCTCCCCCGCACAGCCTACAAATCATTTTTAATGAGTTGTCACTTGGACAATGGGGCTGAGTCTTGGCCCTGATTCAGTGTTGTTGCCTTTCTCCCGCCTCCTTTCTAGATTTTTTTTTTCTTCTTCTTCCTTCTCCTGCTTGCTTTCTTCTCTCTCCAGCCTCCACTTACTGGAAATGAAATCTCTCAGCCCATGAATGGCAGGGAGGGAGGGAGGCGCCAGGACAAAGAGAAGGCTTTGTCTGGCAGTGAATTTAGATAGCACGTGGGTGGCGGGGAGCGCGCAGACTTCCTTCATCCGCCTGTCACGGAGCTTGCCTAGTGTTGGTGGAGAAGGGGAGATGGGTTTGATCCTCTGGTGAAGCCTGGGTCCCCAGGTATGGGGCTGGGAAGAGAAGGCCCCAGCAGGCAGCCCCTGGTGAGAGCAGGGCATGGTGGGAGCAGGCTGCTGGTTGTGGGAGGGGATGCTCCTATTTTTGAGCAGGGAGCAAGCCCCAAAGATGATGCTGGTCTGGGCGATCTGAGCTCACCTCCTCACGATCCATGATCTCACATGCCTTTGCTGCTCTTTCCTCATAGTTAGGGGACCCTCACCCCTCTCCCTCACAGGATTAAATCAAATGGAAGAAGAGAATTCTCAGCTCTCCCCCATCAGCACTGTCTTCTTCTTCACCATCATCATCTTCGTCTTCTTCACCATCATCATCCCCAACATGGCAAGCATTTATAGATCACCTACTGTGTGCCAGGCACTGTTAAAGTCCTTATAAAATGAAAGGATTTCCCATACAGTAGGTGCTCAGTAGAAATTATTTGTAACGGACTCCAGTTTTCTGCTTGGTCAGTAACTTATTGGGCAAGATCACATCACCTCTCTGGGCCTTGAGTTTCTCATCTGTCAAATGGAGATAATAATAGTGCTTTTGGCAAAGAGTTATTGGAGGTTAAAAATGTGTTGAAACACATAGAATGCTTGAAAGAAGTCAGAGAGCTGACGAGCTATTCACTGGTATCAGAGCCTGTTGGTGAGGCAGTCACTTGAACTGGAGAAGGAATGCATTATTTGGTGTCACAAACATTGTGCCCGCAGGCCAAAACTCACCCTGAATGGCCCAGGAACATCCTGTTAACACTCCCAGTGCCAAACACACCGTTGCATCATTTTTGCTGCCCACAGCCCTCAATTTGCTTTTCTTCTACATTCTGCATCGCACCTGGCAGTATCTGCAGCCACCCAGGTCAATGGATATTCTCCTCTCTGCTACCCTCGACCCATCCCAGACCAAGGGGCCCAGGTACCGTTGCTGCAAAGAATCTGCCTGCAATGTGGGAGGCCCAGGTTCAATCCCTGGGTTGGGAAGATCTCCTGGAGAAGGAAATGGCAACCCACTCCAGTATTCTTGCTTGGAGAATCCCATGGACAGAGGAGCCTGATGGTCTAGGGTCCACAGGGTCACAAAGAGTCAGACACAGTGGCTTTGCATGCGTGCATGACCAGCTGCCAGGCAGGGAGGAGTCAGGGTAAAAGCATGAGCTGAAGGGGGGGTGCTGTAGATTCTGTACCCACCAAAAGCCAGGATCAGGATGGAGGGGGAAGCTGGAAATGATGAGGATAAGTGTACTTGTGGGACACCGGCTTGGTGGCCAAGTAGGATGTGACAGGATAGTAAAGAGACAAAGAGAGTGAGGTGCCACAGAGGTCTCTCCACCCTTCTCCACTTCCGTGTCCTCTGTGAAGCATCCCTCACAGCCACTGTCCTTCTTCTTCTTTCATTGGCTGCATAAACTCACCTCTTGGAAAGCCTTCTAGCTGTTGCTCAATCGCTCAGCCATGTCTGACTCTGCACCCCCATGGACTGCAGCATTCCAGGTTTCCCTGTCCATCACCAACTCCCGGAGTTTGCCCAAACTCATGTCCATCGAGTTGGTGATGCCATCCAACCATCTCATCCTCTGTCATCCCCTTCTTCTCCTGCCTTCAATCTTTCCCAGCATCAGGGTCTTTTCCAATGAGTTAGCTCTTTGCATCAGGTGTCCCAAGTATTGGGGCTTCAACCCTCTCTGCACGCACAAGCAGCCCTGTATCACTTACCCTGTAGTGGCCAGACTCTCTGGGCACAGGCTTGCCTCCATGCTGGGGCTGAGGCCGAGTCATAGGTCCCAGTTCCTGGCTCCATCTATGTTTGCTGGGTGATAGACAGGAGACAGGAGTTCCAGCTTTCACATCTGGCTCCACCACCAATTCTCACATGATCTTTGAGAGCCTCTGCCCTGGCAGGGCCTCAATTTCCTCTTGAGTTCAGAGAGAGCTGGGTGGTCTGGCCCAGAGGGCCCTTCCCACCAGCACAAGGCCTGTGATGTTAAAGCAGGGGCTGGGGGACACAGAGTAAGGCATTCTAGTCCACTCTTCACTGTCAAGCTCCTGGCTTTTTACAGTAGTGACCACTTAGTACCTTGGTGTCAGGCAACTGGCTGTTAGTATTGGGGTTTCAGAATCAAAGGACATCCCATCCCTTGGCTCCTCCTTGGCTATGTTCTCATCCTCCACATTCCCACCCCCACCACTTGGTCTCAGCATGGCCCATATGGCCTGTTGCCCCATGCAGCCAGGAAGATACCAGTGGTCCCTGGGGGAGATGACAAAAGAGACTTGGATCACCAGGGGTCAACATGAAAATGCATTGCCACGGCATTTCCTCCCTGTAATTTCCCAGAATGCTCCGAACACCTGAACTCGGCCAGCTGGAGCGCTCTCACTTTCTATGGGGGCTGAAAACCTGGGTGTCCTGTGCTCTCCTGCCCATCCCAGGACCTAGCTTCATCTAACCCCCCAGCAGGGGCTCTTTGGTGAAGACAGGGCTCTGGACAGTGTCTCTGGCTTTGTATGTTTGTGGTTCTGTTGAGGGGCAACCAGGCCTGAACTGGGGGCCAGTCCTAGAGGGTGGAGCTTCCTGGTCCAGCAGCTGGATGATGGGGACTGGGCGGAGCTTGAAGAGGCCTGTTCAGCCTTGGCATAAAGCTCCGCAGGAACAAATGGTGGACATCCTCAAGAGAAGTGGGGCTCAGCCCGCAGGCGAGGGTGTGCTTGGCTCCTCACCCATCTGTTCATGGCTACAAAGCTCACAGGGGTCATGGGGCCCTGCGTGGGCTCAGGGCTTCTGGTAGGGATTTTGCTGCTGCGGTCGGCCAGAAAACTGGCCAGGTTGGTGGCCTAGATTTACTTGAGGACAAAGAGGACCCTCAGGAATGGGACTCAGGACCCCTGTCTCTCTCGTCAGATTTTACCCAGCTTCCTGGCTCAGTCAATCAATATCTAGTGGCACTTGCGCCCAGACTGAAGTGTACAACGGTCTCTGTTTCCATAGTCAGACCTGCTCAGAGATAGGCTGTGTGATGTTCTTGGAGGTAGTGAGTGTCCTGGGCCTAGGGGTATGCAAGCACAGGCTGCAGATCTACTGGGCAGAGGGGCCACCAGGGGGAGATTCTGACAGGGCTGCCCTCAGCCCTGATCTCTAAGACTCCTCCCTCTCTTTGTGACCTGTGCACAGAGGTTGGGCTCCTTCCTCCTCTTCATGAACAGCCTCCTGTGGGAAGCCTCAGCTTACCCCCTTTGATCTTCTGAATGGAGCTATGGGCTGTGGAAGCTGCCCTCTTACACCCCCCGCCTCCCACCTGTAGGATCTAAGTGCCCGGAATCCTGGCTTCCCGCCCATGCTGCCCACATTCCACTTGGGAGCCTTCCCCACATAATCAGGACCATTAGGAGCCTCCTAATGCCACCTGACCTCAGGCCTGTGATGGACCCACGCCGGCTGTGCATGCATTATTAATGCGCAGAGAGCAGAGAGAACCACGTGCATGTATTACACCCTGGCGTCCCCCGTGCATTAGTTTGCAGCATTGGTAGCATCCTTTTGGTGGTCCAGCAATGCCCCCTTCCTAGATTGGCCCCAGGAGTGAGTGCTGATGGGGGAACTAGCTTTCTGGGTACCCAGTACCTGCAGCAGCAGGAGCTGGGATCATTGACACCAGGGATTGCAGCCTGGGCAGGCCTGGCACATCCAGATCTGCAAGGGGAGCAAGTTGAAGGGTCAGCTCATCTACTCCTCACCTCTGCAGGGAAGGAGGGCAGAGGCTCCAGGAGGGAAGCAGTCTGTCCAAAGTCTGGCAAGGTGGGGTAGAAGCCAGCCTCCTGGTGCCTTTCCCACACTAAGCCTTCCTTGAGCAGAGCCTTGTCAACTTCCGAGCCTTAGACCAGGCCTCCTCAAGTGGACAAAGGGGAATTTTGGGCAGGAGTGGGGGGCTTCCTCCTCTCCATATGAAGAGGTAAGATGAAAGCACCTTACTCTGCCATTGGATTTTCTAATTAAAACCAACTGGCTGTAGGACCTTGGCCTAATCACTCTCCCTCTCTTGGCTTTAGTGTCCTCATCTGGAAAATGGGCTCAATAATTCCTGCCTCCCTCCTCGGGCTGGTGTGAGGCTCAGGAGTGGTGAGACTGGAGGCTCATGTAACATATGATTACACATCAAAAGCAAGAACACATCTTCTCTTTCTTGGTCTCCAGCGCCTTGTACCTTTCAATGCAGAATCAACTGATGGGCTAGTTGGCTTATAGTTGAACTGAAATGACAAGAGGAGTAGGCACAGTGGCTATGAGTCTACAAGGACTGTAATATTTGTGAGGCCTTGGTCTCAAGTGCAGACCTGCTATTTACAAGCCACCGACCCCAGTCACAGCCTTTTTTCTCCCCCTCTTCTCAGTTTCTCCTTTTGTGAAAGGGGTCTGGAGTTGGGAGGGAGATTAGAGTCCTTCTAAAAATATTCCAATTTAAAAGGTACTGGAGGCTTATTTAGACTAAAAGGTAAGTGACTAACATCAGGTCCTTTTCTAACAGCACGTTTGGGAAGGGGGATCAGAGTCCTGGGAAGCACCTGGTTCCTGTGGAAGTAGAAGGAGGGGTTGAAGGGATGAGCTTTCCAACTGTCTGTTTTTGCCTGAGGACCTGTTGCTCAGTCTCTTCTCTACTTTACAGGTGAATAAACTGCTAAATAGACAATGGACATATAGTTGCCTCAAGTCACAGAGTTGGAGCGAGGGAGAGAATGGGCCTGGGTCTGGCCAGTCCCTCTAATGTGGTGGAGGAAGTAGATGGGGGAGAAAGGGAGGGGGCCCCCAGTGACTGATCCCCTCTCTGGGTTCTCTGCAAAGTGCATTTCCTTCAAGACCTCTTTTCATTCCTACAACCCTCCCGGGAGGTAGGTCTGGTTATTATCTCCATCTCACAGATGGAGACCCTGATGCTTGGGCAAGTGAGCAGAAGGGTGAAGAGCCAGTGGTCTGATTTCTGGTTGTTCCTGGATGGCTGTGTGGAAGGCCACATGGCCAAGGCAGCCTGAGTAACCCCAGGCCTTCAGTGGGGGCTGTGACAGAGCGAGAATGTGGTTATATGGAGGCAGGTGATGTGACCCCAGAGGGGCAGCTGTCCTCTATGCAAACAAGGCCCGGAGCACTGAGCAAGGGCATGGCTGAGAAAGCCCCTCCTTCTCCTCCCCATGACCCCAGCCTTGTGACACCTTCACCACAGCAGCTGCCCTCATTCTTGGCCTTGAATCTCAAGCCAGACCAGTTCACAAGAGCCATGTGCACCCCCTGGGGAATTCCCCGGGTCCATCTGGAGGCAGTCACAGCCCGAGCAAACGTCTGGCTGGATG